TTTTTGGATAATCTTGATTTACACAAGAATGTTACACCATCATATAATACCTTTGCACTTTTATCATTATTATTTTATTAAAAAAATGACGGAAAATAATAAAAAAAGAAAAATTTTTGAATCAGCAAGTTCCAACAATGACAAACCAAAAAACAAAAGAAAAGTTTTATCATGGGGCGAGAAAAAACAACTGTGTGAATTCTATCAAGAAAATCCTTCAATTACCTATAGAGAACTTGGTAAAAGGTTTGGTAATATAGCCGAGAACACTGTATGTGACATTTTGAAAAAAAAGGAGAAATGGTTGAAAGTGGACATGAGCTCGAACGATGCAATGAAACAAAAAGATAAAACTGCTAAATATCCTGAGCTTGAAAACGCCCTCATCCTATGGATGTCGCATGCTGCATCTGTCAACAAAAGTATCAAAGGTGATGTTATACTTGATAAAGCGAAAAGTTTTGCTCAATTATTGGGGATTAACGATTTCAAAGGGTCAAATGGTTGGGTATCAAATTTCAAGAAAAGACACAATCTAAAAAAATATAATAACAATAATTTAAAACGCAATAATATTAATATTAGCATTAATGATAATAATAATAATGATGACAACGGTACTAATAGTGATAGTGTAGGTAATGGTGTTAGTGTTGGTAATATAGTTAGAAACAGCGAAGTTATTCGCAGATCACCTGAAGAATTAATTAACCTCGAGAGAAAAAAATTACAAGATATTATTAAAAATTATCCACTTGAAGATGTCTTTAACTGTAACGAATTTGGTAAGATAAATTTTCTAAATTATTGTTTAATTTAAAATTAATATTTTTTTAATTTATTATTGAATTATTTCCTTTAGTGCTACATTGGGATTTAGATCCAATCAAATCCTTATTAAATAATGATAACTACAATGACAATTGTCATAATAATACAAGTATTAATGTTAATACTAATAATACTAATCACAATGATAATATTACAATTCAAACTGCCACCACCATGTTTAACAGTTGGCCTAATATTCTTAATTTTGTAACATTCACCATCTTTTCGCCAAACTCGAGTTGGACCATCACTTCTAAAAATTTTGAAACGTGACTCATCACTCCAAATAATTGCTTTCCATTGTCTTACTGTCCAATTTCTTCTTTGCATACACCACTTCAACCTGTTCTCTCTTTGTTGACTTTTTAACAAGGGCTTGTTTGCAGCAATTTTGGAAAAAATCCCAAGTTCATGTAAATTTGTGCGAATTGTATCTTTTGATACCTTAACACCACCATTAACTTCTGCAAACCATTTTTGAATTTCCTCTAAAGAACTACAGTTTTCTTTTAATGCAATTTCTTTTAAAATTTTTTGATCTTCAACTTTCAACAACTTTGGGCGGCCACTTCTTGGTGCACTTTTTAAATTCTCTACATTCTCATAATGTTTGATAGTATCATGAACTGTAGACTTTGGAATATTAAATGTCTTTGCAATTTTTGCAAGAGAACTACTACTTATTCTTACGCCTAAAATTTTTCCTCGTTCAACTTCAGTTAATTCTGAATTTTTCTTTTTTGCCATTTTTAAAAATCAAAAAAAATTTTCGTGATTTTTTTTTTTTGATCTAATCAATTTTATTGGTACTCAGTTTATTTGAATAACAAAACTTTCACACGTGACAAGAACATGAAGTTTTAGTCATTTTTTTATGAGAACCTAAAATACAAACTGTTAAATTTTAATTTTATGATATAAAATTTCGAGAAA